TGGATATGATGTCATGCAATAAAATACCAATTGGTTTCGAGGGATAAATACCGAAAATTTGGATGGAATACCTAATTTTACAAGCGTTTTTAGATGAATGGCAGAAATTTTTCTTAAAGATGCTATTTTTCCACTGATCTTAAAGAGGTAGATACCGTTTGATGAATTGAGCCCCATATCCAGTATGTTATTTGCATTTTTATGTGATTCCCTAGGTGGTGATTATTTAAAGTGTTACTAAACCCACAACAGTAAAACCAGTCTGTATATGCAATAAAGCATGCTTGTTATACTCACTGTGGAATCTAAGGGGTTAATCTTCTGCATTGTGTAAAAAGGCTGTTTGCATCCTGTTCTCTCTGCCCTTCCTCTTGTTCACATGTCCACCTGATAAGACAGACTTAACCCGGAGCCACATGCACATGCTCATGCTCAGTTTAGTGTGTATTGCCAGAGAGGTTTTTTTTTTGTCTTGGGAGAGTACATGTGATCAGTACAGGGCCAATCAGCACTGTCCAGACAGAGGGTCAGGGGTTTTGCATCCTCTTAGAACAGAAAGAAAACTCCTCCTACAAGCTTTAACCAGTGCTCAGCTGAAGTCACAAGACTGCTCTAACTGCTGATGAGGAAAAGTATTTATCAGTTTATATTTAGTAAAATAATTGAATTTCCATGTTCTGTACTGTGGGAGAACATATATAGTGAATGCAGAGTCCTGGGTTTAGTAACACTTTAAATATACACATGTGGCTTTCCAGATACATCAGATACCAAGTGGCTTTGAAATATGTGACTATACTACAATGGTGTTTTAAATATGTTTTTGTACAAATAAACATTTTTTATGGACCACAGTTCTGTCAGGATACGTTTTAAATTCTTTGCATTATTTGTTTTCTGACAATATTACAGTATATAGATTGTTTGCTCCATTGTAGTCAGTAATACAAGTATTTTCTTGGATGTGCATATTAAATTTTATTAGTGTTTTGGGGACACATCTCTGATAAAATGTCACATTTTTGCTTTATATTTTTTAGGCATTTATATAGATTGTTTTGGTCCATTGTAGTGGCTAATACAAATTATTTCTCAGGTGTACATACTTATTTAGACTGTCATAAAGGAGTCTTTAGGTGTTTGTTTAATTTGTCCTGTAAAATGCTATAATGTTGAAACCTCTGCGGTTTTACAACCCCTAGTCAAAATCTGTTATGAAATTATTATAATCTTAAAATGAAGGGAAAAAACTGAAACACACATCTGTGTGTGATGAATTAAAAAAAACCACATATCCAATTGCAAGTCTACTCCACACAGCCTATACATTCAAACAGAAACCCTTCTCACTGAGTCGACCCCTCCTGCAATCCCCGTGGGGACACATTCCAACCTCCTCTAATAAAAGTCAGGTCATGTAAGGGGAAAAAAAAACAGACCCCCGTGCTTAAATGGAGGGATCAAACAAAAAAATACTCTAGAAAGCTTCATTTCAGAATGTGACTATAGCCAAGAAAAACTCACATTCGTTGCTTTAAAATAGTCTATTTAAAACTGTTTGAAAAGAGTCACTAGGTGCCGTGCCATGTGACAAATGTATTTAAGTGTTGACTTGTGTAATTATGAAAATGTTTGAGAAGTGACTTTCCCAAAGGATATATTTCTCTTATATTTAAGTAGGCATTATTTTTCCTTCTAAAATACAGGAATGCTCTCTGTTTACCTACCTAAAAAAAAAAAAAACAACTCTTCATCTATTGTGGATTTCATAGGAACAAAATTTTAAAACGTTGTATACATTTTTGGGAAAATCTATGAATATCTCTATGCTATAAATATTTCAGTGGTCTTGTTAATTTTCGATTCGTTGGGGCTGTTTTATTAAAGGCAAAAAGGCTGTTCACTTTGTAAGGGAAGTTTCAATTTGAATGGTATTTGCCCTAGGATTTACTGTATGCGGTGAAGTTTCCTTTTGCAAAGACTACCCAATCACGTGCAAGGAAAAAAAAACAGCATTTTTTTGCTTGCACATTATAGGATGATGGAAGTCAGCAAAGCTTCATCTCATTTGCTAAGATCCGGGACAAAATTCCCTGCAGTGTGCAACGTCATGTGCAACGTGTACATCATATTTGCCTTGAGCAATTCAAGACCATTGCATTCCATAATCCTCTGAATGTTCTCCTTTACTTAGTGAAATGGTAAGTCATGAAGGACAGGGAAAGGAATGGAGATTGTAAAAATACACACACAAGGGTGCAAACATCTACCATGTTACGATCATTAGAATTTATTGGATAAAATTGAATTACATACAAACAAGTGTAAAAACAGGCTTATGAAACTAGAAACTCCAGCTGTAGTCGACGTCATCAATTAATAAACCAAACAGTTGGAAATCTGACGTATTTTGGGGGTGAACCCCCTTCCTCAGAGCTAACCCAACCTTATGCAAACCCTTAACCGCCTCCCGCCCCGCCATATAGTACAATGACGGACGCAAGGCGGTTCTCTCGTTCTGGTAGGACGTCATATGACGTCCTCCCATTCTCAGCGCGCATGCGCAGCTCCCGGATCACCGATCCACGGAAAGAGCCAAAGATGTCAGCCCTGGGCATGTGATCAGCTGTGTCCGATCACAGCTGATCACATGTAAACTGGGAAATGCCGGTTATTGGCATTTCTGTTCCCACGAGCTGTCACGCTGAGGAGAGGAGAGCCGGTAATCAGCATTCCTCGGAGGGGACCTGTACACTGATCATCAGGGCACACTGATGATCAGTGTGCCCTGATGATCTGTGTAGCCCCAGAAGTGCCACCTGTCAGTGTCCATCAGTACCAGCTCTCAGTGCTCATCCATGTCACCTGCCAGTGCCCATCAATGCCACATATCAGTGCCCATCTAAACTGCCTTTCAGTGTCACCCATCAGTGCCAGTCAGTGCCACCTATCAATGCCAGTCAGTGCCGCCTATCAGTGTGCATCAGTGCTGCCTACTGGTGCCTCCTAACAGTGCCAGTCAGTGCCACCTAACAGTGCCAGTCAGTGCCACCTATCAGTGTCAGTCAGTGCCGCCTAACAGTGCCATATATGAGTGCTGCCTTTCAGTGCCCATCAGTGATGCCTGTCAATGCCAGTCAGTGCCACCTATCAATGCCAGTCAGTGTCATCTATCAGTGCTGCCAATCAGTGCCACCTATCAGTGCCAGTCAGTGCCTCTTATCAGTGCCGGTCAGTGCCGCCTATCAGTGTGCATCAGTGCTGCCTACCGGTGCCTCCTAACAGTGCCAGTCAGTGCCACCTAACAGTGCCAGTCAGTGCCACCTATCAGTGTCAGTCAGTGCCGCCTAACAGTGCCATATATGAGTGCTGCCTTTCAGTGCCCATCAGTGATGCCTGTCAATGCCCATCAGTGCCACCTACCAGTGCCTCATCAGTGCCCATCAGTGCCACCTATCAGTGTCCATCAGTGCAGCCTATCAGTGCCCATCACTGCAGCCTCATTAGCGCACATCAGTGAAGGAGAAAAAATCACTTATTTACAAAATTTTATAACAAAAACTAAGAAAAACTTTTTTTTTTTCAAAATTTTCCGTGGTTTTTGGTTTAAGAAAAAATAAAAAACCCAGAGGTGATTAAATACCACCAAAATAAAGCTCTATCTGTCACAAAAAAATGATAAAAATTTCACATGGGTACAGTGTTGCATGACCGTGCAATTGTCATTTAAAGTGCAACAGCGCTGAAAGCTGGAAATTGGCCTGGGCAGGAAGGAGTATAAGTGCCCTGTAGGCTAGTGGTTAAACCTTATGTAAACACTTAGTCATGCAAGAAGTTAACACCTTCATCGTCAATGCAGATCCATTTGTAAAACTGATTATCCACAATCACTGAGAACCTTAAAAATTGAAAGTAAGAAACACATGAATTGATGATGTCGCCTGTGGCTGGAGTTCCTAGTTTGATATGCCTGTTTTTTTCCATGTGTTTGTGAATATGTCATTGAATTTTCTTATCCAGTTAATACTGAAGGTGGTAAGATGCTAGGTGTTTGCACCCTTCTGTGTGTGTTTTTACAGTTTATTTGAAGATTTATTATTATTTCATGTACTTCTATAGCACTGTCAATGTATGCAGCACTTTACATATATATTGTACATTCACATCAGTCCCTAACCCTCAAGGTGCATACAATCTAAGGTCCCTAACTCACATTCATACATATACATACTAGGGCCAATTTAGACAGGAATCAATTCACCTACCAGCATGTCTTTGAAGTGTGGGAGGAAATCAGAGTACCCAGAGGAAACCCACACAAGCACAGGGAGAACATGCAAATTCCATGCAGGAAGTGCCATGGGTGGGAATCAAACCCATGACCCATTTACTGCAAGGCAGGTGTGCTAACCATTAAGCCACTGTGCCACCTGTAGATTATCTGATCTGAGAAGGGCTGCATCACACTAAGCATTGCTTGCCAGGTCTTATGGGAAGCATCATCATCTGATTGCTGGAGTTTCAGATTTCTTTATTAAAAGCATGGAGATATCCTAAACAGCTGCTGCCACCAAGGGAGGTTGGCTAAACCATCCCACAATGCACACAACAGGACTGTGAAGCCTTACCCATCCCAACACACCTTCTACCAAAGTCTGTGGGTGTCACATGCAGAATATTGGGAGGTTTATTCAAAGAGTGCGAGTCCTGTAGGTGATAGTAGGACCAGTTCATAAAATGTGATCAAGGCATTTGGAAGAACCTGCATAGGGGTGCTACGACTCCTTCATGGGGTTATATTCATAGAGAGGTGCTGTGTTTATCATGGGTTCAGGGTAATGCCGGGATTTGTGGGTGTTTTTTTGGTTATGGATCGTGGGCTTGGGAGTATGGTCGGATGTGGTCCATTATAAAATTATTTGACATAGTTGGGCTGGCTGTATTATAACGACAGATATGGGCCCTTCCTGTTCACACCAGTAGATAATAATATATTTGGTTTAATCTGGGGAGAGGGACATACTTCTGGGGGGCCCCAGGCTAGAGGAGAGCTGGGGGTCCCCACGGGGTCGTTGGCCAAACGCTAAATATTGCGCGGGGAATTTTGGGCTGGGGCTGCGACTGGGGTGGGGGGGGGGGGGGGGGGGGGGGGGGGGGGGGGGGGGGGGGGGGGGGGGGGGTGGGGGGGTGGGGGGGGGGGGGGGGGGGGGGGGGGGGGGGGGGGGGGGGGGGGGGGGGGGGGGGGGGGGGGGGGGGGGGGGGGGGGGGGGGGGGGGGGGGGGGGGGGGGGGGGGGGGGGGGGGGGGGGGGGGGGGGGGGGGGGGGGGGGGGGGGGGGGGGGGGGGGGGGGGGGGGGGGGGGGGGGGGGGGGGGGGGGGGGGGGGGGGGGGGGGGGGGGGGGGGGGGGGGGGGGGGGGGGGGGGGGGGGGGGGGGGGGGGGGGGGGGGGGGGGGGGGGGGGGGGGGGGGGGGGGGGGGGGGGGGGGGGGGGGGGGGGGGGGGGGGGGGGGGGGGGGGGGGGGGGGGGGGGGGGGGGGGGGGGGGGGGGGGGGGGGGGGGGGGGGGGGGGGGGGGGGGGGGGGGGGGGGGGGGGGGGGGGGGGGGGGGGGGGGGGGGGGGGGGGGGGGGGGGGGGGGGGGGGGGGGGGGGGGGGGGGGGGGGGGGGGGGGGGGGGGGGGGGGGGGGGGGGGGGGGGGGGGGGGGGGGGGGGGGGGGGGGGGGGGGGGGGGGGGGGGGGGGGGGGGGGGGGGGGGGGGGGGGGGGGGGGGGGGGGGGGGGGGGGGGGGGGGGGGGGGGGGGGGGGGGGGGGGGGGGGGGGGGGGGGGGGGGGGGGGGGGGGGGGGGGGGGGGGGGGGGGGGGGGGGGGGGGGGGGGGGGGGGGGGGGGGGGGGGGGGGGGGGGGGGGGGGGGGGGGGGGGGGGGGGGGGGGGGGGGGGGGGGGGGGGGGGGGGGGGGGGGGGGGGGGGGGGGGGGGGGGGGGGGGGGGGGGGGGGGGGGGGGGGGGGGGGGGGGGGGGGGGGGGGGGGGGGGGGGGGGGGGGGGGGGGGGGGGGGGGGGGGGGGGGGGGGGGGGGGGGGGGGGGGGGGGGGGGGGGGGGGGGGGGGGGGGGGGGGGGGGGGGGGGGGGGGGGGGGGGGGGGGGGGGGGGGGGGGGGGGGGGGGGGGGGGGGGGGGGGGGGGGGGGGGGGGGGGGGGGGGGGGGGGGGGGGGGGGGGGGGGGGGGGGGGGGGGGGGGGGGGGGGGGGGGGGGGGGGGGGGGGGGGGGGGGGGGGGGGGGGGGGGGGGGGGGGGGGGGGGGGGGGGGGGGGGGGGGGGGGGGGGGGGGGGGGGGGGGGGGGGGGGGGGGGGGGGGGGGGGGGGGGGGGGGGGGGGGGGGGGGGGGGGGGGGGGGGGGGGGGGGGGGGGGGGGGGGGGGGGGGGGGGGGGGGGGGGGGGGGGGGGGGGGGGGGGGGGGGGGGGGGGGGGGGGGGGGGGGGGGGGGGGGGGGGGGGGGGGGGGGGGGGGGGGGGGGGGGGGGGGGGGGGGGGGGGGGGGGGGGGGGGGGGGGGGGGGGGGGGGGGGGGGGGGGGGGGGGGGGGGGGGGGGGGGGGGGGGGGGGGGGGGGGGGGGGGGGGGGGGGGGGGGGGGGGGGGGGGGGGGGGGGGGGGGGGGGGGGGGGGGGGGGGGGGGGGGGGGGGGGGGGGGGGGGGGGGGGGGGGGGGGGGGGGGGGGGGGGGGGGGGGGGGGGGGGGGGGGGGGGGGGGGGGGGGGGGGGGGGGGGGGGGGGGGGGGGGGGGGGGGGGGGGGGGGGGGGGGGGGGGGGGGGGGGGGGGGGGGGGGGGGGGGGGGGGGGGGGGGGGGGGGGGGGGGGGGGGGGGGGGGGGGGGGGGGGGGGGGGGGGGGGGGGGGGGGGGGGGGGGGGGGGGGGGGGGGGGGGGGGGGGGGGGGGGGGGGGGGGGGGGGGGGGGGGGGGGGGGGGGGGGGGGGGGGGGGGGGGGGGGGGGGGGGGGGGGGGGGGGGGGGGGGGGGGGGGGGGGGGGGGGGGGGGGGGGGGGGGGGGGGGGGGGGGGGGGGGGGGGGGGGGGGGGGGGGGGGGGGGGGGGGGGGGGGGGGGGGGGGGGGGGGGGGGGGGGGGGGGGGGGGGGGGGGGGGGGGGGGGGGGGGGGGGGGGGGGGGGGGGGGGGGGGGGGGGGGGGGGGGGGGGGGGGGGGGGGGGGGGGGGGGGGGGGGGGGGGGGGGGGGGGGGGGGGGGGGGGGGGGGGGGGGGGGGGGGGGGGGGGGGGGGGGGGGGGGGGGGGGGGGGGGGGGGGGGGGGGGGGGGGGGGGGGGGGGGGGGGGGGGGGGGGGGGGGGGGGGGGGGGGGGGGGGGGGGGGGGGGGGGGGGGGGGGGGGGGGGGGGGGGGGGGGGGGGGGGGGGGGGGGGGGGGGGGGGGGGGGGGGGGGGGGGGGGGGGGGGGGGGGGGGGGGGGGGGGGGGGGGGGGGGGGGGGGGGGGGGGGGGGGGGGGGGGGGGGGGGGGGGGGGGGGGGGGGGGGGGGGGGGGGGGGGGGGGGGGGGGGGGGGGGGGGGGGGGGGGGGGGGGGGGGGGGGGGGGGGGGGGGGGGGGGGGGGGGGGGGGGGGGGGGGGGGGGGGGGGGGGGGGGGGGGGGGGGGGGGGGGGGGGGGGGGGGGGGGGGGGGGGGGGGGGGGGGGGGGGGGGGGGGGGGGGGGGGGGGGGGGGGGGGGGGGGGGGGGGGGGGGGGGGGGGGGGGGGGGGGGGGGGGGGGGGGGGGGGGGGGGGGGGGGGGGGGGGGGGGGGGGGGGGGGGGGGGGGGGGGGGGGGGGGGGGGGGGGGGGGGGGGGGGGGGGGGGGGGGGGGGGGGGGGGGGGGGGGGGGGGGGGGGGGGGGGGGGGGGGGGGGGGGGGGGGGGGGGGGGGGGGGGGGGGGGGGGGGGGGGGGGGGGGGGGGGGGGGGGGGGGGGGGGGGGGGGGGGGGGGGGGGGGGGGGGGGGGGGGGGGGGGGGGGGGGGGGGGGGGGGGGGGGGGGGGGGGGGGGGGGGGGGGGGGGGGGGGGGGGGGGGGGGGGGGGGGGGGGGGGGGGGGGGGGGGGGGGGGGGGGGGGGGGGGGGGGGGGGGGGGGGGGGGGGGGGGGGGGGGGGGGGGGGGGGGGGGGGGGGGGGGGGGGGGGGGGGGGGGGGGGGGGGGGGGGGGGGGGGGGTGGGGGGGGGGGGGGGGGGGGGGGGGGGGGGGGGGGGGGGGGGGGGGGGGGGGGGGGGGGGGGGGGGGGGGGGGGGGGGGGGGGGGGGGGGGGGGGGGGGGGGGGGGGGGGGGGGGGGGGGGGGGGGGGGGGGGGGGGGGGGGGGGGGGGGGGGGGGGGGGGGGGGGGGGGGGGGGGGGGGGGGGGGGGGGGGGGGGGGGGGGGGGGGGGGGGGGGGGGGGGGGGGGGGGGGGGGGGGGGGGGGGGGGGGGGGGGGGGGGGGGGGGGGGGGGGGGGGGGGGGGGGGGGGGGGGGGGGGGGGGGGGGGGGGGGGGGGGGGGGGGGGGGGGGGGGGGGGGGGGGGGGGGGGGGGGGGGGGGGGGGGGGGGGGGGGGGGGGGGGGGGGGGGGGGGGGGGGGGGGGGGGGGGGGGGGGGGGGGGGGGGGGGGGGGGGGGGGGGGGGGGGGGGGGGGGGGGGGGGGGGGGGGGGGGGGGGGGGGGGGGGGGGGGGGGGGGGGGGGGGGGGGGGGGGGGGGGGGGGGGGGGGGGGGGGGGGGGGGGGGGGGGGGGGGGGGGGGGGGGGGGGGGGGGGGGGGGGGGGGGGGGGGGGGGGGGGGGGGGGGGGGGGGGGGGGGGGGGGGGGGGGGGGGGGGGGGGGGGGGGGGGGGGGGGGGGGGGGGGGGGGGGGGGGGGGGGGGGGGGGGGGGGGGGGGGGGGGGGGGGGGGGGGGGGGGGGGGGGGGGGGGGGGGGGGGGGGGGGGGGGGGGGGGGGGGGGGGGGGGGGGGGGGGGGGGGGGGGGGGGGGGGGGGGGGGGGGGGGGGGGGGGGGGGGGGGGGGGGGGGGGGGGGGGGGGGGGGGGGGGGGGGGGGGGGGGGGGGGGGGGGGGGGGGGGGGGGGGGGGGGGGGGGGGGGGGGGGGGGGGGGGGGGGGGGGGGGGGGGGGGGGGGGGGGGGGGGGGGGGGGGGGGGGGGGGGGGGGGGGGGGGGGGGGGGGGGGGGGGGGGGGGGGGGGGGGGGGGGGGGGGGGGGGGGGGGGGGGGGGGGGGGGGGGGGGGGGGGGGGGGGGGGGGGGGGGGGGGGGGGGGGGGGGGGGGGGGGGGGGGGGGGGGGGGGGGGGGGGGGGGGGGGGGGGGGGGGGGGGGGGGGGGGGGGGGGGGGGGGGGGGGGGGGGGGGGGGGGGGGGGGGGGGGGGGGGGGGGGGGGGGGGGGGGGGGGGGGGGGGGGGGGGGGGGGGGGGGGGGGGGGGGGGGGGGGGGGGGGGGGGGGGGGGGGGGGGGGGGGGGGGGGGGGGGGGGGGGGGGGGGGGGGGGGGGGGGGGGGGGGGGGGGGGGGGGGGGGGGGGGGGGGGGGGGGGGGGGGGGGGGGGGGGGGGGGGGGGGGGGGGGGGGGGGGGGGGGGGGGGGGGGGGGGGGGGGGGGGGGGGGGGGGGGGGGGGGGGGGGGGGGGGGGGGGGGGGGGGGGGGGGGGGGGGGGGGGGGGGGGGGGGGGGGGGGGGGGGGGGGGGGGGGGGGGGGGGGGGGGGGGGGGGGGGGGGGGGGGGGGGGGGGGGGGGGGGGGGGGGGGGGGGGGGGGGGGGGGGGGGGGGGGGGGGGGGGGGGGGGGGGGGGGGGGGGGGGGGGGGGGGGGGGGGGGGGGGGGGGGGGGGGGGGGGGGGGGGGGGGGGGGGGGGGGGGGGGGGGGGGGGGGGGGGGGGGGGGGGGGGGGGGGGGGGGGGGGGGGGGGGGGGGGGGGGGGGGGGGGGGGGGGGGGGGGGGGGGGGGGGGGGGGGGGGGGGGGGGGGGGGGGGGGGGGGGGGGGGGGGGGGGGGGGGGGGGGGGGGGGGGGGGGGGGGGGGGGGGGGGGGGGGGG